TGTTTATATTTTTGTAAATGACTTTCGAAAGTGTTATTTCGCAAGTTTGCGAGAAGCTGGGTCAGGTAGCACTAAAGGAAGAACAGAAGTTGGCGGTGGAGACGTTGCTCGAGCGTCAAGTTGTCAACTAAAGGCTAGCTTGAAAACTTCCCAGTTTATCTAGCCTTTAGGCACTACAACAAAAAAACCTATCTTTTATATCTTTTCTCTTGATGCTATGATTATTATAGACTACTACAAGTATCTGTAATCTACTGAAATGTGTAAATAAAGTTTGTTGTTGTTGTTTGTATAGATTTGTAAAAGTGGTGTGAGGATACGGTTGCAGCAGCTTTTATGTCCACTATATGCTGGCTAGTATTACAGTATTGAGATTATTGGGGGTTTTTTCGTGTTGGGAAAAGAATGGGAATATCAAGATTACACAATTGATAATTATTACTTCTGATTATTCATTTGAATGTGTCACTCATGTGAAGTTGATTTTCTCAGTCATGTCTGTATTTTATAATATAAAGGTACACCAGTATTGGCTCTCACTGGGACGGCAGATGACCAGACCATTAAAACAATCATGGATAACCTGGTGCTACGAAATGCCACCATCCTCAAGCTAAGTCCAAACAGAGAAAACCTGCGATTTTCTGTAAAGAAAGTTCTTAAACAGGATATGTTCTCTAGTCTGGAATGGCTTATCAAGTTGATAAAAGGAAGAGAAGGAATGGACAAGACAATTATATTCTGCAATCTGATGAATGACATTGCATGTGTGATAAATCACCTTATGCTCAAACTTGGAAAACCGGCATACTCTCCTGAAGGTTCCAGCTCCCCAAAAGATTGCATACTGGGAATTTATCATTCTAGTTCATGGCAGAAAAATAAGGATAGGGTAGTTGAGTCATTCAAAGGTCAAGGAAAGGTCAGAGTGGTGGTATCTCCTTCGGCACTTAGTATGGGGGTGAATTTCCCTGACGTCAGATTTGTCTTGAACTGGGGACCCCCAAGAAACATATTAGACTTTCATCAAGAAGCTGGCCGAGATACGTTGCCCAGCCATGTTTTTCTAGTTTACCATGGCCAACAAGTTAGTTTATGTGAAGAGCCAATAAGACAACTACTGAATGCTGAAGAAAGTGGCTGTTTGCGAGTTGCCGGATATTATAGTCTGGATGATAAGATAGAACCATTAAGCCCAGGCCATTTTTGTTGTTCTTATTGCACAAAACAATGCAAGKGCAAAGGAGATAAGTGTGACTACTTGCCATACAATGAATGTATAAATGATTTGCCACCACCACATTTGCTCTCAAGACCAGTAGCAGAGGAAGACAGAGATTGTCTTGAAGAAGCCCTTAAAGAATTGCAGTTGGGAATGGAAGTTGGTGGGTTAATTGACAAGGCTTCCTCTCATGGATTTTCTCAGCGATTAATTCAGGATATTTGTAAAAACTGTACAAAACTGAAAGCTCTTGTTGGAGTTAAGTACATGTTGGTTTATAACCATGAATACTTTTTGCAGCACAATTTGCTTAATGTTTCTTTCGTGTCTTTGGACGATCTAAAGCATCATAATGACTTCTTGCCTAACGATGTAAGCAGCAACGATGCCAGGATCCTGAATATTGTGAAATACTCAATCATTTGAGATACTGGCGTCCAGCTCCTCCTATCTTGAAGCGACTGCATGCCGATGGCAGGCACTCATATAACAATCCTGTCATTTACGATCACCATATAATCCAAGCCCTAACTAACCACTCTCTCGCTACTATCATAACAGTTTCCGAGGCTGCTGCCACCCGAATCAATTCTGTTGTAGTGAATCACTTTTTTGAAGATCACTATTGTTTCAGCGAGATCCAGATGGACAACGGTTTGCAACCTTCTACTGTCTACAAAGGCATGGGGGTCGTTATCACCAAAAACGTTAACAAACAGAAAGGGATAGTTAACGGACAGAGAGCAACTATACACATGAGAAGTTGTAATACTATACTTCTATACTATACTATACTATACAATCCCGCCTACACTCTTTCTCGTTTTCTCCAATTCTTTGCTACAGTTATGACAGGATAAATATACTAAGATACGAGTTTAAGGTAAAAATTGGAAGCAGGATCAGGGAAAGATGTGTGAAATTGTTCTTGTCTTCATTAGAAGTAAAAATGCTGGACTTACCATCGTTAATACAAAGAATTTTCGAAAGAGTATATACCGAGTCTTAGTGGCAAAGAAATTTCATTGAAGTACTTAGACGACAGAGAGATTGGACTGACCTTGCAAATGAAGATCTTGACTGTTTCATAGACATGATAGAAACGGCAAGAGATTCGACATGAGAAAACTTGAAAGTCATTCAACTGAAAGCGAATGTGCTGTCATTGACACCCCAAGATAGCACCGAGCYAAGCAAGCATGAGTTGACACGGACATGTCCAGGGCTTCAGTGCAAAAGAATACTATCTACAATCTTAGTCTCATGACTATTTTTGCACAGGTATGTGGCTTTAATATATATATTTGTTCCTTAAATACCAAAAATCTGGCTACATATCCCCTTTTCATTTTAAAGTCAGGTTGGCATAATGGTATGGAAGTCAATCAAAAGGGGTGGGGGCAATCCTCTTGGGCGACACTTTATTAACGTTGTTGATAGCTCATTGTAAAGCGTATTTTCTGCACCTTACTAAGTGTGACAACCGTTGAGTATCTAATGAGATATGAAAGTTATACTGGGTACTAGGGTTTACAAAAGACGTTGGACATAGCTGACAAAGTGCCCTGGTTAAACCACATAATAGAGGAAGACCTATTGGGTCAGCAGGCCTCAGATCCACCTACAACCATAGCGCACACTACACTTCAAACAGCAATCAAGTATGTCCAACATCTGGAATCCCAGAAAGATATCATGTGCCAGTTAATTCTTCTTAACATTCTAATTTAAAGCTTACCATTTTTAGTGTTATAGCATAGCATACAATTCTTTCAATTACATAAATCATTTTAGCTAGATAATTAAAATGCAACTTTAAAACAAACTCACAGTCTATTCTTTTTAGTTTGTCAATAGACGGTTTTCAAAACAGAAGTTTTAAAAAAGTTTTTTTCCAAAAGTAGGCAGTCACCTTTAAACATAATCATAAGAATGTTCTTGCTTTATTCTAGGAATGAAAGCAGCAAACCCTGATATGCACTTTAACATACTATCTGTTTTCACTTATCAAGTACTGAAGTCTGTTGGCATCCAAAATAAAATATATGTATTTCACCAGAACTTATTTTTTACCTTCAAGGAAATTTTAATCTCATAGCCCCGTGGGCTGCCTGTTCAGGGAGGAAAAGTACCTCTTCCCTCAAACGGTCGTTTTGTTTGAAGAAACCGCCTCCAAAGTTTTGGAGGTAAAAACTGGTTCTCAAACATCTCAAACTGGTTTTTCTGGATATTACGTCAATAGAGCATGACTTTTTGTTATCAATGTCGGCTCATGTTGAGCCTGCATCGTTCAAATCGCATTGGAAATTTGGCAATTCTCTTCTGTTTGGATTTATTTAAGTGGGTCATTTAAATGGAAACTTTGAGAAATTTGTCTTTATTTAGATCACTGAGACCGAAGTACGACTGCTTTATTGTTTATTTGCTAGTTCTTATAATTTTTAGATCTTAGAATCCAAAAATCTCTCTTGTCTTTGGTCAGTGCCGGTTGAAGTTCTGTGCAYGTAAGAATTGATTCAGTCTGGAAATGAGTCATGCGTTTCCAGGGTAACCGTCACGCATGAGGGCAGAGACGATAGACGATGTTTTATCTTCAAAGATAGGCATGGCTAGATACTGTGACCCAGGTAGAAAACGGATAGAGTAGAAAATATCATATTCGACTATGAAGTGAAACCATGTTGACCTGCAGAGTAACAGATAACTCTAGCCTGATGATACGAAAAGTCACACACCCTTATTTCTTCAACTGAACTGCTACAGTATAAATATACAATGCAATTCATGTTTAGATTTTGAAAAATGTTAAGCGACGAAGCCATCTACATTGAAAAAATTTTTGTGAACTACCTGTAGTTATTTCATTGTTTCTGTTGTTTATGACTTACTTGGAAACGACCAGGAAGAATTTTGCGCGGCACGGCCTGGACTCGCATATTCATCCAAAAATACATGAGATATCAATAAGAATAATGCTAAAAAATCTATGAGTTAAAGAGTGTAGGTACATGTAGTGCTCAGAGTTACTGTATGTGAAATTTATAAGTTTTTGAAGCTAATTTTGACACTTGATTCTGAGCGTGATAACCTGGTATGAGGTTTTCCCTGGGTTGCGTTTTACTTCTCGCTTCTTCTCTTTTTCTTAAAATATCTCAAAAAAATTTAATTCCTGAAGTCTGAAGTATTTAACATCCTCTAACCACAAATATGAGGCCTTTTAAAGGCGTAAAAAAACGGCAAATCGGTCATAACAACATGAGATTGTTGCACGAATTAAGTAAATTTAAATCGGAAATTTCCAAAGTCAAATTTGATATTGACTGTTGTACCTTTTGTAGAGGATAATTCTATTTTAATTTTATTTTACATATATACATATATTTATTTCATTGTTTACATCCATATTTTTATATTAGCATCATGTAATTTTAATTTTTAGTTTAGGTTATTTATAACTTGGAGATATTAGCATGTACTTGCTATCTTGTAATTCAAGTATAAATAAAGTTATTGTATTGTATTGTATTGTATAAATACTAGTGAAATCTAGAGAGAATGAGGAAGCATCTAAACCCAATTTACTACTATGACGTCACAGCCCAGTCCCCTAGGTTATCAATTCACGCGGCCGGAGGTCAAAGAAATGCCGATTTTTGTACTTTTGACCGCTCGAAAAAAATAGAAAAAAGCGTCAGAATCAAAAAATTCTTTCGACACGTTTCATAGAATAGCTTATATTTTGATATAAAAAAGTAAAATAATAAGGGTCATAGGCATAGTCCAGCACTTCCAAAGCCTGCCCACATAGCACGTGCTCCCAACCATCGCTGTCAAAGAATGAGACCAGAAACCCCAAGCATCTCAACTTTGCCTTGCTCCCGGAATGCATCCCTCCTAATTTCCTAAAGTCTGACCTCAGAGTGAACAACCGTCGCCACTTTATATTTTCATTGCCAGAACAGCTACTGACACTTAACAGGGCATGCACCTGGTATATTGATGGTACATTTAAACTGATCTGTGAACCTTTCAAGCAGCTACTGTCTATAAATGCCTTTGTTTGCTCTGGGTGTCAAGCAAGTTCCCCTTGTCTTCGTGGTTATGTCTGGAAGAACAAGAAATGGCTACCAGGAGATAATTCATTTTATACTTTTTCTCCTGAGCTGGCAGCTAGGGACTAAAATGTAATTACCCAATGATTTTCCCTTTAGGTTCTGAGAAGATTGTACACCTTTTACCATACCAGCCACAAGTGTCTAAAGTAGTGCTCGACTTCGGGCAAGCCCTTTGGGGAGGTGTGAGGGCAGTTCTTGGAGATAGTGTTGGCAGAATAGGTAGTGTATTCCACTGGAGTCAGGCAGTTTGGCGTAAAGTAAGTATGCAATAAACACTAAATAATGACTTTACACACCTGACTAAAATTATGTCAAGATAAAAAAAGACACAAGTCAACAATAAATAATTTCCTATATAAAATGACTTTTTGTTTTGAGAATGATTGACCATTTTCCCTTTTTTTCCAACAGGTGCAAGAGCTTTACCTGAGTATAGCTTACCAAGAAGATCAAGGTACACATGCCTTCATCAGGAACCTGTTGGCCCTGCCATTCATACCACATGAAGAAATTAGGTTTTTCTTGTACCTTGTACAGCAAGCCACAACCAGGGCTCTGTGCAATCTTACTYGATATATCTGTCACCAGTGGATAGACAGTACCACCTTCCCCCAAAAAGAATGGAGCATCTACGGTCAGGCCATACAGACAAACAACGATGTCAAAGGTTGGCACAATGGCCTGAACTGTAGAGCACAAGGAAAAGTACTTTTTCCTTTCTATATGTAAGTAGAATTTTTTAAAGAAAGAATCCTTCAAATGCGCCTGGTTACTGAGCAAAAATTGAAAAGAATCCAAAGGAAACTTCGTGACCCACAGGGAAAACTCATTGGCCAGTGGGAAGAGTACTCTGGACAAAGTAAAAATGTTTTTCAGTTGCTGAAGGCGTGTGCTCACATGTATGGTCGAGGACATAAGATTGCATTATCTCCCTAGCACATTTTCTTGTAAATAGTTAGATTTTTTACAAACACATTTTTTCATTTTATGAACAGTTGTATTAATTGTGAACATATAATTTCTGTAAATTAAAAAAAGATATTAATATTAAAATTTATTCTTACCTATAAGAAATGAACTGCATCAAATCCAGTTGTGTCGTCTTGGGCTACCTGTGGTCTCCTTTGCAACAAAACAAAATGGCGTTGATACTGTCAAATCAGTTTTCCTAAATGCAGGAATCGCTCATCCATGGCCTTTGCTATAACTATATAAGAAAGGTGGTATCCTTTGTTTAACCTCACTATCCTTAGCTATCATAAGCTATCCCTGAGTATCCTTAGCTGTCCCCGAGTATCCTTAGCTATCCCT